AGATTTAACAGGTGCTTTAAACCTCAGATTCTCTAACTTAGAGTTGTTGTCCCTTTGCCATGTAATTTTATATGCCTATGAAAGCCAAATCCAAAAAAAGCCCCTGAACCTGTTAAAATTTACATATTAACACTGAGAAAGACAATAAATGAAGGGGAAGGAAGGGGCAAGATACAGTGGGATTAATATTATTAAATTCAATTACACATTCTTAAGGTTTGTTTCACTTGGCAATGAGGACTGTTTCCTTATCTATTCAATTTATTGCCTGCTTTCTCACCAAAATGGCACTAAAGGCGGTTAACAGTAATCAAATCCAGATTAAAAACAAATTCTTCCTTAAAACATTACCTAAAAACACCCACTGCAACACAATTAAAAATACAACAGTAAAAGAAACAGCATGCAGCCAACTAAATTCTTCTGTGTTAGATGAGTTTACATGCCAAAGGCCTCCTGATGGAAGAGAGGAAACCATCCTAGCCAGTCTTGACAGGAAGTTTGAGTGCCTGGAAGCCACCATTGAAAGGGTCCTTGTGTTCTTATCAAATCTGTTTTCAGTGCTAGAAGGACTGAGAGGAAGGCATCCCCCAGTGATCTTCAAACCTGGCAAGGTCCATGTGGAGAATGTGGTATTTCAGGCTGCCTGGCTCTGCACCATACTTGGTTTTAAAAGTTTTAACCAGCACTTAAAAGCATTCATTCATTCATTTGAATTGCTCCAGGAAACAGACCATCACCCAGTGAAGCTGTTGTAACAACAGAGTCACCTGCTCCCTGTAACCAGCCCCAGTCAATAGTCTGGCTGCAGCATTCTGGGCCAGCTGAATTTTCTGAACAGTTTTCATACAGCATATTACAGTAGTCCAAACCTGATGTAACTAGGGTCTGAGTAACCATGGCCAGTTCATGGCCAAGTTCCGAAACTTAAAGTATTGTCACTCATTAGCTGAATCAGAAAATTCTGGGAACAGGTACAGCTCCTGCCTGACCACCATGGGGACATAGGCCTTCACGTTTGGGCTGAATCCAGGAGTACACCTATCCTGCACCCAAGTCTTTGGGAAGAGGGTAGCTGAAACTCTGTTTCCCAATCTGCTGTTTGGCTAACCAAGAATATGCTTGCCTTCTCTGGATTATGCTGCAGTTTTTTCACCTTGATGCAGTTCAGCACCTTCATCATGCACTGATTTACAATTAGAACAACTTCCTTAGATCCAAATGGAAATGAGAGATTATTAGTGTTGTTAATGGCATAGAGCACCTCCACAAATACAGGAGGTGCTCCTGTGTAGACACAGGTACAGAGCTGCAGATGTGAAAGTGGAGTGGCTGGGGTTTCGGTGCATCTCTTCTCATTCATTCTTGCAAGACAGTAAATAGTGTGCTTGAAGAGGCCTATAAAGTTGGTTGCCATGAGCATACTCCAGACTGTCTTTCCCAGCAGTTTCATGTGGGACAAGATGGAACCCTGCAGAACACCACAGCACCAAACAGGAATCCCCCAGTACCATTTTCTGAATTTGCCCCTCCAAGAACTACCAGAGCTGCCAAATAACAGTGGTGTCAAGTCCCACCTCAGAAAAATGCCTCAGAAGGAGCATGAGCTGCTGGGAGGGTCAGCAGAACAAACAGGCATACGGCCCTGTTGAGTTCCCAGCAAAGATTGTCCACCAACACAATCTCTGTTCCACAGTCAAGCCTGAAGTACATCTGAAATGGATCTAGATGGTCATTTTCATCTGGAGTTGAGACTCCTTACCCAAGTATTTATGGTGATCATTGGCCAAAAATGATTTAATACAGGTGTTTTTTCTTTTTTTCTAGCAGAGGGCCTACTACAACCTCCTTATGGAAGATAGGATCACTCCTTACTGTTAGGAGAAACTGGCCAATAGCCCTTCCCATTGAGCCAGTCTGTCAATCTCCAGCTATTTCTGTAAGCCAGGAAGGGCAAGGCACAACATGTAATGGACCTCATTGTTCAAAGGATCCTGTCAACACCCTCAAGCTGTACTAACTAAAAAGTGTCTATTATAGCTGGACAAGCAGGCCAAAACAACATCCACCAGATTTGTATCAACTCTGATATTCAAGATGGCATGGTTATGAGAGGTTTTATCTACACGGTATTGCATGGATTGGTCACAATGCACTGTGAAATGCTACCCATTTACTTCTTGTGAGTCAGAATACAATGAGTCCTTCAACCATCCAAAAAAAAAAAAACCACTGTTGGGTGACCTGGGAGAAGTTGCAGTGGTGGCAAAGAACAGTTTCTTCACTGTTCTCATTGGCATGGAGTGGGCTTTGAAATGTGCTCTTCGTGCTCAGTTAGACCTGTGATGAGTTTTCTAACAAGGCCATTTTAGGCATGTCCCACTCATTTGAACATTCCTGGCTTCCTAAAAAATGAGAAAGCTCATTTGGTTCTACTCAGTGCAAGAGAATGCTCAGAAGCAACCATGTCATCCAACCAGACCATTTCCGTATTCTGGAGGTGAAATAGGGCTTTGACTGACTCACCTGACGAGGTGACAGGAAAATCCCCAAGAGCTGTGAGAAATCCATCCGGATCAATCAGTCTCTTGTGTTGGTTCACCTTCATTGGTCCCCTGTCCCTGCAAACTCCCAGAGTCCCAGTGTGTATACTCCACACCAGGTAGTGACCTCTTTATGACAGTGGATATATAGAACATTCCTCTGCCACAGATCATCCAAAAGCTACTTCCAGAAAATGCAAAATTTGAAGGAAGAGAGATGTTTTGTGCTGGAAATCCCACACAGGCAAAGCTGTCATGAGTGGGATTTCCAAGCATGAGAAGCAGCAAAAGACAAAAGCAGACTCTTCAGTTATGTTGATGAAGGATGTTTCTTCTGTAGGCATGACTTTGCCATTAAAAGCGTCTTCTCGAACCTAAAACTGAAAGTTCTTTTAATAGATAATCATTTTTAGTGCAGACTTGAAAAACACAGATGCAGTCGCATGAAGCAGTATAGAAATGGCTGATAGCACCAGCAGTTGGGGTAGAAAGAATGTAATGGGAGATTTTGAAAACTTTGGAATATTGTTTGTGTTGTGGAGGCTGTACATGGAGGGAAACTGGAGCGCAGGACACTAGATAATCTAGATAGTTACAACTCATGTAATACCTATAAAGCTTTACATGGCTTAGGACCACAATACCCATTGGAGGGCCTCTCCCAGCCGCATTCCAGCACAACCTCAGGGGCCTTCCTCCAAGGGCCACCCCTGAAGGAAGGGTGGAGGGTGGCACGAAAGGGGAGGACTTTCTTGGTGGTGGCATCCCATCTATGGAATCACCTCCCCACTGCAGCCTGAATCTGTCAACTTTTCAGTGCCAAGTTAAGATGGCCCTCTTTTATGAAGCTTTTAAAGACTTACTCAGCCACCCAGGGGCTTGAGGGAAATCACCAGGTGTTTAATAAAGTCTCTTTCTCTCCCTCTTTTGGTTATTCCTTGTTATTGTCTGTTTATATTCTCCATTTTAATTAAACTTTTAAATATTTTTCTGATTTTATGATATTTTATTGTATATTTATCATATGCTATTATGGACTGTAGCAACCACCCAGAGAGGTTTGACTGTGGGACAGTATGCAAATGAAACAAACAACATTGTGCTTAGAACTGAATTCTTTAGACCTTGACCAGTTTTACTTAATATTAGTGCAGTGTAATTGCCAAGGAAGCTGCATGTTGTATGGTCCAGTTGCCCTATATTGTGTGAACACCAGATGTGAACAGTGTCACTGGCATGGTTGGAATTGGTCCCAGCAATGCAGGCAGCACTTTGCATAAACAGGGCCCTGTGTTGCATGGCGTCCACATGGTCATGACTGCCAGGTTGCGCTGGACCAAGAAAGGTAGTGGAAATCAGGAAAGAGGCACAAAAGCTCTGGGGACCTGCAAAGACTGGCCCTGAGAAATAGTGGTTTGCTTTCTGAGTCTTATGCACATACACTTGGGCACCCCCTGTAAAGATCATTTCTTGTGCACTTGTGCTTCCTTGCATTCTCAAGGAGTCAAGGAGATGATATCACTGTTAAAAGCACAAAAAGAACCATCCTAGTTAAAAGCAACAAAATACAGCAGTGATAGCATCGTGCCTTTTTGCAATCGGCATTAATGAATTACATATTTTTATGTTTTCCTACCAGTTTTAGAAATGGGCTGGCCTAAGTCAGGTCTGGGGAGGCAGTTGCAGGTGTGAGGCTTGATAAAGCTTCCTCACCCTCAGGGTGAATGATGTCAGGGCACAGCCACTCTCACCTGGGACCTGCTTTTACTGGGCAGGAGCTTCACCTGGTGGAAGAAGGCTGGTGTGAGGTGAAGCCACAGCCAAAGCACTAGGTGGGTGATCCAGCCCGTGCACTGGCCTGGGTGGCTTTCGCTGTCCTGCACCTCCTCGTGTTGGGTGCTTCTTTGCATACCACATATGCTTGGCCAGTTGTGGGGACAAGCAGTGTTCAAAAGGAAGGGACTCAGCCACTGCTTGTAGGAACTCCTAAGTGCCAGCCAAGCGTGTAGCCCTTAACGTGCTGCTCACCTCTTTGTTATTTTCCCACCTCCTTCCCAAAACTGCAGTGAGCTCCAAGCCAGGAGGGAGGGAACCAGGCCTCCATGGGCCAGATAGAGGATTCCTGGCTCTGGTGCTTAATCCAGCTCACAGAGGCTGGTCTAAATAAATTGTAATTGTAATTACTTGTAAGCTGGCTAGGAAGGCCTTTGGAAGTTACAGGCAGCATATAAATATGTGACGAAATAAATAAATGTAGACTAGCTTCAGTTCAGTGCTACAGGAGTATGTCCCTTTATTTCCAGTGACCAACTTGAAATGTCATCAACTATGCAATTTGTTTTATGATAGACTCAAAGAAAGGAGCTGAGTTTTAGTAAAGGAAAGTTCTAATTCTGATACATGTACTAGCACTTCCAGGCCTCTTATTCTCTCTGCTAACAAAATTCTCTCTTTCAGAAATTTCTGGAAACCCTCTGCTTACCTGGACAGAGTTCCTTTGCCTTTTGCTGCCCTTTTCCTAAGGAGTTTCTGCAGTACCTTGAGGCTCACACCTCAGTTTCCCAAGGAATAGCAGTGTGGGGGAAGGCATAGAAGTTAATGTTTTCATCTACCCGGACAAAGGAGAATGGGGACCCTACACCCAAAAGAATGAAGACTAGACAAAATAAAGACTCCGTAAGTGAAAAATGTCCAGAAGGAAAGGAGCAAGAGCTTGAGAAAGGAGAAGACTCTGATAATCTGAAATGAAGTAATTTTAACAGCAGAGAGATATAATAAATAAATGACAAGAAGAAAAGTGCCCAGGAGTATGAGTACATGAACGGTGGTGAATACTTGTGAGCAATGAGGGAGGAAGAATGGGGGTGGAGTTTGGAGAGGAGACTTGGAGGATATTGGAAATGCTGAGGAGTGGGTTTCTAGAAAGGAATAAACTAAGCCAAAGGTGCCCCAGCTTATGTTGTTGTTATGGATTGTCACAGTCACCAGTAACTTGCGACAATTTAAGGAAGAAGAGTTTCTAATCACTTTTAAAAACAAAAGCATGATTTCCAATATTTTTATTCCCTGTTACAGTAGCGTGGCAGAACCAAATTAGCCTAAAAAAGGAAATGAGTGTGTTCTTACTTGTCAGTCCCCACTGGTTTAAAATTGGGGTTTACTAGGTAATGGGCAACTTGAGACCCTCCAGCTCCCAACATCCCTTGCCATGGGCTTTGCTGGCTAGGGCAGAGGGGAGCTGCACGATAAAACATCTGGAAAGCTACATGTTGCCTACCCCTGAGATAAGCAGTGGGGACTTTGGTGCACTCACATTAAAACTTTCCTGCCTTTTGAATTGCCTGCCCAGAATTCCTGGGCCTTGGAGACAATTCCAGGGCATGCTCTAGACCACCTCTTTGATTTATATAGGGTACTGGCCATGTGCATCACGCCTTACCATTCCCTTACAATGCACCTGCAATAAGCACACACTCAGCTGAACATTATAAAGGGAAATCAGCAGTGATGGGCAATACTTTTCAGAAGGCTTGTCCACCATTACTGACTTCCAACACTGAGCACCTGCCAACAAGCTTCCAAGGAAGACCAGGGGGAACACAGACTGAAAGCTGTTTTATTCTGTTAATGATTTAAGCTCTTTCAGTCTTGTCACCCCAAAGAAATTGGCCTTTTGATTATTTCCAGGTAGGCCTGCACAAATCATGGTCAACTATGCCCACCAGTCGCTTGGCTGGGCCTACTGGGCACCCGCTGTTCTTGCCGTTCCAGGGAGGGAGCAAAACCAGGAGCCTGACAGAGCCCTGGGTGGATCCCTGTCCAGTTTGGTGCATCACTAATTGCATAGAAAGGAAAGTACAGGACACCAAATGTTTTTCTTCCCTCAAGGCCAATGAAGGAATGCTAGGAGAGGAAGTGATGGTTTGCAAGGAAGGGCTCATATTGCATTTTGTGATCAAAAGTGCAGCTCCAAAGTCCCATGTCAATATATTTTTAGTTTAAATCTCAGAGACATGTGACATTTAACTTTTATTAATACAGAGTCCAGACTCCATGCCCCCACCTGCCTTGTCCCTGCAAAGATTACCTTGGACTGGCAAAAATTTGTTGGGGCCAGAATCAAAACAGGGTGGGACTGGCATCGGAGGCTGTGGCACAAGGTGTCAGATTTCCTAACAGCTCTGTGCTTCAAAGTGATTGAGCAAATTGACTCTGAAGATTGTCAGAGCAGCATGGAGATGGAGGCAGGCTTGAGGAAGCAGGAAAGAGTGCAAAACAAGTGGAAATAACCCACTTCCTATTCTTGACTTTTATCCACAGATGTCAATGCGGAGTGGTCGGAAGAAGGAGACTCCTGGGCCTCGAGAAGAGCTCAGGACGCGGGGCCGAGCTTCTCCAGGTGGTGTCAGCACTTCCAGCAGTGATGGCAAAGCTGAGAAATCTCGGCAAACGACCAAGGTAGGCAGCATACCCACATCTCACCGTTTAGCCAACATTTAATTAGCTTTGGATATAGCCAGGAGCTGAAATCATAGTACAAACACAATGCACAGTGTTACACACACTTACTTAGAACTGCACTGAATATTCTCTAGCTTTTACTGGGGGGTCAAAAGCAAGCAGCGTCAGGGGTGCTAAGATTTCTCTCAAAAGACATTTACATAGCACAGATACTCACTTTTTGGTTTAGCACTGACAATGATGTCATTTTCCTGCAGTAGCGTATTCTCATGCGGCCATTGGTGCAAACAAGGCAGATTGACCTTATAATGCCCATACTGCACCACCTGCATTGTTTATCGGTGTGTCTCGGAGCCCAAGTTAGTGCTGAATTTTACCTTTCAAACCTTAAACTGTTTTGGAATACTGCTGTTCACCTCCCAGAAAGCTTCAGCTTTCAGCAGTATAGAAAATGGATGGATGGATGGATGGATGGATGGATGGATGGATGGATGGATGTAAAGGACCACCTAAACCCGTATCAGCCTAGCCACACTTTAAGGTCAGCCCACCAGTGAGAGCAGTGGGGCAGTGACTGCACATGAGAAATGCAGTGGTCTCACACCATCAGGAGCCCAACATGCTTCATCCCTGCAGGTTTTTAAGATGACCTAGAAAACTAACTGTTTTACTTTGGCCCTTTCTTAATAAGATTGTCTGAGGTTTTTTACTGATTTCCTTTCTATTTTTATTACTGGCCTTGTTGTTATTTTTGTTGTGTTCTTACTACTTCTGTTGCTCTTAATATTATACCAGCTTTGTATGTTTTATTGATACATGCTGCCAGGGAGGACTTCTGCCCTGAAAGACAGCTGAAACAAATTTTAAATAAATAAAATGTTTGGTGGTAGTTTCCCCTAGCCTGTTGCTCCTTCCTGTGTTAGTCATATGGGGGATCCAGAGATTATGCAATGAAGTAATATCATATGATGTGGTCAATCAGACATTGCAGCTTGATGACATCATTGAAGGCAAGTGAGGGCAATTGAGAGTGAGGGCATTGTAAATTAATGCAAGAACAATAATTGCTCCGAAGAGGAAGAGTTCCCCATCATTCACCTTTATTTGCAAGAAAGACAGAAAGATGAGCCATTCTGGAAAGCACCCCTTCCTTTGGAACAATGGTAGTCCATTAATTGAAGTTCATTTCCCTCACTCTCTGTGATATTAGCACATAGCAAAGTCTGACTAACTGCTTAACATAGTGGTGCCTTTCCCATTCACTGTGTGATTTCTGACATAAGAACACCATGTGACTAATGACAGGAAGCAGATGCAGCCGCTCTCACTTGCATGCTGCATTAGGTTACGTTTCCCACAGCTGGCAGGCGATGGGGAACTTACATTGCAGGACTTGAAGAGGAGACTTCCTGGAAACATGCCTCCCCCCTTTCTCTCTTTGCTTTGCAGAAAGGTCGTGTGGAAGAGACAATGGCCCCTAAAGTAAGCAAACAAAGCCGGCCGGAGGAGATTTCAGAGAGTGAAGGAGAGGACACCAATGCCCCAAAGAAAACTAAAACAGAGGTTGGTTTGCCCTGGCCACCGTCCTGTCCCTGCATGGCTCAAATGTCTCTGGCAGTGCCTGCCCCTTGGACGTTGAACAGGGACATTGCCCCTGGCGTCTCTGGGCTCATCCAGCCCAGAGCCCTCTTCTGTTATATCAGGCGATGTTCTCACCCGAACCGGCTGCCTCTTCCTGCCTTCAGCAGGCCCTGGAGCTCTGCCCTCTACTTACCTCCAGAGCCCTCCTTAGAGGGAGCCTCTCGTAATCACTGCCACGTCTCTCCAACCCAGGAGCTGCCACGGCCTCAGTCTCCCTCAGATGTCGACAGCCTAGACGGCCACAGCTTCAACGATGAGACAAGCAGCGACCCGCGTGACATTGACCAGGACAACCGGAGCACTTCTCCCAGCGTCTACAGCCCTGGCAGTGTGGAGAATGATTCTGACTCTTCCTCTGTGCTGTCACAAGGACCTCCCCGATCTTACCATCACCCGCCACTGTTTCCCCAGAGCCCCTCCCCGGCCCCCCTGACAGAGGGCCTAGCCCGGCCCCCAGAGTCCAACTTCAGTGTACCCGGGGAGGGCCATCCTCAGGGGCCCACAAGTGGCTATCAGTCCCAGCTGGAGGCCCAGGCCTCACGGATTTTCCAGGCCCAGGCCTCCCAGCCAACTCCCACGCCGTCCACCAACTCTTCCTCCTCCCCCACCTCCTGCGCCGCCCACGTCTCCCTCTACCCTAATGCAAACGTGGTCCAGATGGGCCCCAAAGCCGTGAGCGCAGGGGCGGGCATCCCGGCGCCGCCAGGGGGGCGTGAGCAGCCCCTCGGTGCCAAGCACAACCCTCCCCCCACCACCCCCATCTCCCTCGCCTCTGCGGCGGGTGGCCTGCCCCCTCAGAAGACGCCCCCAAACAACTCCCCGTCAGTGCTGCCTTCCTCGGCTGCCACCTTCCCCCACGTCTTAGCCAACCTGCCTCCCCCACCGGCCCTGCGCCCTCTCAACAACATGGCTGCCACCTCCAGCTCACCGGGAATGGTGGGGCAGGCCTTGAGTGGACACCTCTCGTCACCCCACGGGATGGGGCAGGATAAGTCCCCGGTGCCCTCCCGTTACCCGTATGCCCCCCCGCCCCCGCCCAGCTCCTCGGCTCAGTATCCCCTCCCTCCCCCCTCCCAGGCACTGCCCAGCTACAGCTCCTCGTACGGCCACTCCTTCCCGCCTCCCAGTAGCCTCTCCGTCTCCAGCCAGCCGCCCAAGTACACCCAGCCCTCCATGCCCTCCCAGCCCGTGTGGAGCCAGGGCCCACCGCCCTACAGCCGCCCACTGGGCAACTCCGGCTCCCACCCCCCCGCCTCCTTCCCCGGCCAGGCCGCCCACCAGCAGCAGCAGCAGCAGCAGCAACAGCAGCAGCAGCAGCAGCAGCAGCAGCAGCAGCTCCACCACGGCCATGGCAGCGGCACTGGCCTCTCCCCCTCGGCGGCCGCCACACCCCAGACATCCGGCGGCTACTCTCACCCGCTGGAGCCGGGGCCGCACCACCCCTCCCACGCGGCCTACGGGCTGCGCCTCTACCCCCCCCACAGCCATGCCACATACAGCCAGGCGCCCTCCGCCTCGTCATCCTCCTCCTCCTCCTCTTCCTCCTCCTCCTCGTCATCCCAGGGGACCTTCCCAGGGGTCTGCAACCATCCCCAGGGTCAGAGCGCCGCCACCTATACCTTTCCTCCCCCTCCTCCCCCCTCGCCTGCTCATGGGGCCGGGCCCCCAGTCACCTCTGCCTCAGTCACTCTCTCCACTGTCATAACCACAATGGCCTCCTCCTCTTCAGCCCCCTACAAGACGGCCTCCCCCCCAGTGGGTCCCCCTGCTGTGGCCCCCTACGGAAAGCGAACCGCCTCGCCATCCCCAACCTTCCAGCCACCTGCCCCCTACAAGCCGGGCTCTCCGCCCGCCTCCTCGACATCCTCATTCCATGCAGCCACGCCACCGGGGTACCGGCTGACCTCTTCCCCTGCAGCTGGTGGCTACAAGGCCCCCTCCCCAGCCCCCATTGCCTCCCCGGCCTCTGGCAGCCTGGCCGCCCCTCCCCCACCTTTGCCTCCACTGCCTCTCAGTGCAGCCCAGATCAAGCAAGAGCCTTCGGAAGAATACGAGCCCCCGGAGAGCCCGATGCCTCCAGTCCGCAGTCCTTCGCCGGCTCCCAAAGTGGTGGATGTCCCAAGTCATGCCAGCCAGTCAGCCAGGTGAGGAAACGAGAGGCGGTGGAGGGGAGAGCAGCAGCAGGCGGTGGAGGAGGCAGAACAGAGGGAAGAAGCCCTCAGACTTGCACAGCCTGTGACCCACCAACCCAGGCATAACCCATCTGCTGTGCCTAATGCCTAACTCACTGAGTTTCCAGTCCCTGGCAGACAGCAGAAACACAGCTTTATGATGGATTTTGTGGTGGGCTGCGTTGCTCCAGGTGAATCAGGCCTGGGTGAGAGTTAAAGCTTAGTGGTGTAACCTCCAGCATGACCTTACAGTAGAAACAAACTGACCAGCCTGAGGCTTCAAAGCCCTGGTGTGATTTCCCTGTGGGCCAGAGGGGACTCCTGGTTTTGCATCTCCTGACTAGTTGGTTTCCAAGATGAACCTGAAAAATAATGATGCTGCAACATCAGCTCAAGTCACCTTACATTGATATGCCTCCTGCGGTAGCTGTGGATCCTTCCTTACCATACAAAGATTTAATTTACCCATCGACTGAGTACTGAGATGCTCTCTGCAACACACAGGAGCATGCAGAGCCTGGATTGAGAGAAGGATGCAATTCTGCTTGGAAGGGAAGAGGTGATAGGATTTATGGGCTGTATCCATGTCCCATTTCTGTGGGATCCCAGGCCAACCACATGAAGAACTGTTTGAAGAATTCCGCTTCCTGAGTATTGCAGCTTTTAACAAGAGGAATAGCAAAAGTTTACTTGAAAGTATGCAGGCTCATAACCAGAAATGTTGTGTAGAGGAGTAACCAAGGGTTGCTTCTTGGACAGCAGAAATGAAGGGAGAAACAGCACCCAACAGCTGGAATCTAAAAGACAGGTAGCAGCCAAATGATTCAAATATTTATTCCTGAAAATCAGGAAAGGACAGATCCCTGACAGACCTGTAAGTGGTGGAAATGCATGGTGAAATATACAAAAACCAGAAGAGGTTCTGAATAAGATTGCTAGTACAGACAAAAGAGAACAGTTTTTAATGCCCTATAGTGCACTTTGCCTGCTCCCAGCCCAAGTAGTGAGTTTTAGTGGAAATTCTGGTTTTTCCTCTAAGCAAAACTGTTAGATTTTTTTTAGTGCAGTTCTCAGGAGCACTAGAAGAAAAGTGTTGGCAGTGGAAGGCACAGCTCTGTGCTTGCCATTCTGATTTGGGGCATATTTTTCAGTTGGCCTCATCACATCTGGTCTTCCCTGCTTATTTGGAGGCTAATGTCTTAGTTCTTCCTGCCACAGGTTCAACAAACATCTGGATCGTGGCTTCAACTCCTGTTCACGGACTGATCTCTACTTTGTGCCCCTGGATGGCTCCAAACTGGCCAAGAAACGGGCAGATCTTGTAGAGAAGGTGCGCAGAGAGGCTGAACAGAAGGCTCGGGAAGAGAAGGAGCGCGAAAGGGAGCGAGAACGCGAGAAGGAGCGTGAGAGGGAGAAGGAACGGGAATTGGAAAGGAGTGTGGTGAGTATTTGAAGAGCTGCTTTCCATGTCCAAGCTCCCATGTGCAGGTTCTGATGCTTCCAGTTAAAATTATACCAGGTGATCCAAACTGGGGATGCTCTCCGTCGAGATTTTGCCAAAGCAGCTCACAACCTGGCTCGGCACGAGGCAGAGTCAACTGTGTGTACAGCCCTGGGCTGTCAGAGGGTCCCCCACTGACGTCGTCTCTCTGATCTTTTGCAGAAGGTGGCACAAGAGGGCAGACCCGTGGAGTGCCCATCTCTAGGCCCCGTGCCTCACCGCCCATCTTTTGAGCAGGGCAGCGCAGTGGCCACTGTCCCGCCGTACCTGGGCCCTGACACGCCAGCTCTTCGCACCCTCAGCGAGTATGCCCGGCCCCATGTTATGTCTCCCAGTAACCGCAACCATCCCTTCTACGTACCACTGGGAGCCGTAGATCCCGGACTGCTGGGCTACAACGTGCCGGCCATCTACAGCAGCGACCCAGCCGCACGGGAGAGAGAGCTCAGAGAACGGGAGGCCCGTGAGCGAGACCTCAGGGACCGTGATCTGCGTGAGCGCCTTAAGCCTGGCTTTGAAGTCAAGCCCGCAGAACTGGAGCAGCTGCATGCTGTGCCCAGTGCCGCCATGGATCCTTTCCCACGCCACGGCGGGCTTGCTCTCCAGGCAGGCCCAGGCTTGCACCCTGCCTTCCCCTTCCACCCAGGGCTGGGGCACCTGGAACGAGAGCGGCTAGCCTTGGCAGCTGGCCCAGCCTTGCGCCCCGACATGTCTTACGCCGAGCGACTGGCGGCTGAGCGGCAGCACGCGGAGAGAGTCGCTGCGCTGAGCAATGACCCCCTGGCTCGGCTGCAGATGCTCAACGTGACCCCCCATCATCACCAGCACTCACACATCCACTCCCACCTCCACCTCCACCAGCAGGATGCCATCCATGCAGGTGAGGAGAGCTGCTGCCTCCAGCACAGTCTGTAAGTGTGTCGCAGATCTCCCTCCGGAAGCATTTTGTCTGAGTGCAGCGTGACCTTGTGGCCTAGCCCTTGCTCGTGCGGTAGGGTAGGCCCGTGCCAGGGCTATACCAGGTGGGGGGTTGTGTGAGTGAGTGTTCCGCTGGGTGAACAAAGAATGCCTCACAGGAACCTAGCAGGTCAGCAAAAGTTCTAAGATGCAGCTGTTCTTAGTGACACATGCATTTCGTACAGGCAGGTAATGTTTGTGTTGGAGGACCCTTCAAGAGGTGGGACCCCCCACTTGCTGTCTGACATGGTACCACTGAAACACAGAGAACACTAAGCCTTGGCACCTGCGCAGCTCCTGTTAGCCTGGAAGTGTCAACCACTTAATCATGAATCTGCGTGTTTTTAAGCCATCATAGCTCTCAGGACAGGTTATAAACTAAACTCTGATCACTTGGAAGGAGCATCCGGAGGCTCCTCACTGCTGGCTGTGTCAGCTTCCGGGCTGCACCTTCCATCCCTCCTCGCTGTGGATGAGGTCATGACTGGGTGGGGTGCCTGGGACCTGTATGTAAATGAATACATAAATGTGTCAAAATTGTTCACTAAGGTGATTTAAATTTTACTCCAGAAAAATGGTTGAATTCTGCCACTTCCCTAATGCATGCAAATCAGGCAGGCTTTTATGCCACATCATTGCTCAATTAATTTATTCCAATTCTACTAGTTGAGGCTGTGAGTAAGGCAGATTATTGCTATCCCACTCCATAATGGCTGCAAGTTTTCCTCAGTTGTTCCTTTGGATTTTGTGATCCCATTGCCCATACAGCTGTAGATTTTTGCATCTGTGCAAGTTAAAAATTTGTTGGATGGTCAGATGGGCTCTACCAAGAGCCTCTTCATGAGGGCTTGTGTAGTGGCAGGACTCTGTGTAGCAGGAAAGGAAGCCTCTGGTTCAATCTCACATCAACAGTGTAGCATTTACTAAAAGAAATGCTTGTTAAATGCCACTTATAATTAGCCTAGATATATAAAATCAGGAGCAAAATGTACTCAGATCCAGTACATCGCACGCAACACTTCTTACGCTGTTCTTGCATCAAGATCTCACGGTTGCCTTTCCACTCTCTGCAGCTTCGGCCTCTGTCCACCCTCTTATCGATCCCCTGGCTTCTGGGTCTCATCTCACCCGGATACCCTACCCCGCTGGTACTATCCCTAATCCACTGCTTCCTCACCCACTCCATGAAAATGAGGTGTTGCGCCACCAGCTTTTTGGTAAGAACTTTGCAGTGGTGAGTGGGTGGCTTGGCAGAGTAGTCTATGAGTAAAGGGGCTTGCCCAGATTTGGGGGCCATGCAGAGAGACAGGCTGGGCGGAATGGGAGCTGGGAAAGTGCCAGGTCTGGAGCACCAAGGCCATGGTAAGTCGGAGGTGAGGAACTGTATGGAAAGCCACACAAGAACTATTGGGCAAGAAGGCTATTGGGCAAGAAGGCTTGGGCAAGGAGCAGGTTCTTCTGCCCCTGAGAAGGCCAGGGGCAGAAGAACCTGCTCCCTTCACCACATTTTCTGTTTCACTTCGTAGAAAAATAAGTCTGTAGCCCTTGTACACATGAAGATACAAGTATGTAAAAAAAGTACAAGCAGTTTTTTTATTGTTATTGTTTTGTTTTAGTATTTTTACCCAACTGCTTAGTGCGAATTAAACCCACTCCTGGCTTACAGTGTTCTTATCAAGGAGTGCAAATGCACTGAGAAGGTGGACAAATATTTGGGAGCTTATTGTGAATGGCATTAAACATCACTATATTAAAGTGGTTGAATAAAGTCAATAAGTGTAAACTCACAAGTGCACTTGTATCAGTGGGTCTGAGGGAAGGCAAGTACAGATGGGAAGACCCAGGTTGGCACTAGGTCTGGGCCTGGGCTCGGGGCTTGGGGCCTGTGTAACACAAGGAAATGAGGGAAGTATAAGGGCCTCGGGAGGGTGGGGGGGGAGAGCAGCTGGGCCTGATAGGGATGCAGGGGAGGGCATTTTTCTCTGCCTTTCTCGTATGACCCATTGCCTCTTCTGTGCCCCTCCAGTCTCCCGCTCCACCCCACTCCCGAAGGTCTTGTGCTCTGGGGCAGGCCTGACCGTCAGATTCCTTGTCAGTCTGTTCTCTTTTTTCCCTTTGGCTGCAGCTGCCCCCTACAGAGACCTCCCTGGCTCTCTCTCTGCCCCGATGTCTGCAGCCCATCAGCTCCAAGCCATGCATGCACAGTCAGCAGAGCTGCAGCGCCTGGCCCTGGAACAACAGCAGTGGCTGCACGCGCATCACCCTCTGCATGGAGTGCCGCTCCCCACACAGGAAGATTACTACAGGTTTGTGGCTTGCTGGGAAGGGCGCATTTGTTCCGTCACCAGTGTGAGGGGGCCAGTCAGAAAGCTAAGGCAGGGAACGTCTTCTGCTTAACTGCAGTTTGGAGGAAAGAGGCATGGTTTCTCAGACAGCGTGGGTTTCCTTGACAGCTTCTCAGGGATTCTTTAGCTTCTTTGAAAGGGAGCTCAGCTAGTGTCCCTCACCAGTATTACCCACGCACACTAGTGTGCAGGAGTGTGTGCTAAGTGAGGCTTGGCCAGACATTAAGCCTGAGGGTTCACCTAGGACTTTGTTTGCTGGCCATTGCACAGAATTGGTTTTTAAGGCCTTACTCGGGTTCTTTCTCCCAGAAAGAAGATAGCCTACTGTACGTATGTGGGGCTGCTTTTGAAGAGTGTTTGGGAAGTCAGCTGGCACAGAGTGTGGTGGTCAGATTGTAAGCTAGTACTGCTTCCCATAGCCAGAACCTCCAGAGCTGACACATACTCCCTGGCCCTCAGGTTCTTATGGCCCCAGTTCAGAGTGCTAGTTTCAACCTTTAAATGCTGGGTGTCTCAACTGTCTTTTCTTATATAAACCTGCAAGTTGCTGGCATCATCCCCAGAGGCTCATCTGGGTGCCTTTACTTTCAGAAGTTGGGCCTTTTCTGCGCTGATGCTCAGAATCAGGAGCTCTCTTCTTGGCATGCTCATGTAATGCCTGCATTGTATTCTTTGAGGCACCAGACAAAATTTGTCCAGTTCTCATGGGCTTGTAACGGTATTTAGGATCACTTTTCTGGTTGTACCTGCTATTTTTATTCTAATTAGCCATTTTCATCTTCTATTTTTTATCTGACATTTGTTAAGTTTTTATGTGAATTTGTTTTGTAAGCAGTCTTGAGGATGCCTGTCAAAAGAGAGGGTGCAAATTCTGTAAATAAAATAGTGTGGTGTTTTAAATGTTCTTGTGTTAATATGTTTTATTGTAATTTTAACTTCTGGGAAGTCATCCTGGCAGCCAGTTGCAGAGATGGGACATAAATCAAACAGATACACAACAAGCAAAGCTGACATCAGCTGAGTGCCTGCCTTTAAAGGGCCTTTAATCCTCCTCATCCTGTTAAGTGGCTCTCCTAAGACTAGAGAGAGCCATACTGCATGGCAGATGTATGAAAAGGAGAGCATTTGAGGCTGCAGATCTGCAGCTCAGTGACAGTGCCAGAGTGGGCAGCAGGTACCTGACCCACAAAATGCACTCCAACAGGATGTTCTTCTGCAGAAACTCCCATTTAAATGAGTGAATAGGAATTGCAGTAAGGGTTGTGTCTCAGTATTTCCAGAGAGAACAGCAGAATAGAGGCATCCATCAGAATTTCTCCCTTTAGTACCAACATGACATGCACATCGGAGGTGGCTGGAGCTGGGGGTCAGACTAGATGGCTCAGGAGGCCCCTTCTGACTCGCTCTATGTCCTATGTTTTTATCACCTTCCTCAGACTCTTCCTGAGATTTGCTGAGCACTGAGCCACCAGCAAAAGCTGTTAAGCTAGTTCTTTTGAAAGCAGAGACTGTCTTGCAATGAATTTTTACGGGAACAAGTTAGCTCACCTTTCCTCTTCATTTCTCTTTGTTCTTTCTTTCAGTCACCTGAAAAAGGAAAGTGACAAGCCCCTTTAAATGGAACCCATTTCCCATGATGACCTCATCACCCCTCTTGCTTCTTCTCCAAGAGGAAATCGACCAACCAAACCCTGGGCGAGGGGGAAGCTGCACAATGACACAACTCCTAATGTTGTTCAAGGGAAGAGTGAAGAAACCAGAACAATCATGTGGGGTGGGGGTGGGGGGAGGGGGGAAAGGGGGTGTGAAACACCAATAAGGAGTTTGGAAGGTGGCGGTAGAAACCGCCATGCATAGACCATCGTGCATCTCTTCTCTGCCCATCCTTGGGCAGATGTGGCTAATCAGCAGAAACTGAACGCATGAAGGGCCAGAATGCAACCTCCTTCCTCCACACCTTGATACACAGGATAGTCCAGAGGAACAGTGCATCATGGGACTTTTCAAGAAGGCATCGCCATATTCTTGCTCAACCCTTGAGAGACTGGGCCAAATCAAGAGGTGCTTAGCACCACAGGATGGTATCAAAGGGGCAGCTGCCCTCTTAGCCACGCCTTGAGGGAATGCGGATGGTTGCAGGACTAGACTGCTGCGGGACTGTTTTCAGGATGGCCTTTCCCCTCCCATTTCACTGGCCAGGGGAAGTTAATCTGACCAAGCGATGCAGGGCATAGTGGGACTTTCCACAATGGCAGCTGCCCCTTTTCCCTTCACCCATTCCAGTTGGTGTACTTTAACTCATGCACATCCCGTTAGACGTGGCAGTTTTGAGTAGCAATTTGTGATTCTTTGATCTCCCCGTGTGTGTGTCTAATCTCACGGTTGTATATCTTGATCTGTCCTCATATATATTTACATAAGAACATTAAAAGATACCCAACTATGGGAGAAGTATCTCCCTACACACTCAGTTCCCCCTATCCCATTCTAATAATTTATATATAAATGCAGCTCTTAAAGAAAAAGCCAGCCAAGCAACGACAAAAAGGCATTCTGGAAACATGTTGTTTGCACACCCAAGGATCTGTTATCAAAGAAATCAGGATTTTGAAGCTGTTTCCCCTGGTCTTTAGCTACAAAGTATGGAAGTGGAACAGGACACCTGAAAACAGAATGTTTTGCTCTAGTCTGATGTCAGAGGTGTGCCGGTAGGTCCGTTCACCACTGCTCTTGCTGCTCTATGTTTCCTGGCATGCTTTGGCAATTGGGTGGATGAATCCTAATCTAGCACCTTGGGCAACACCTGCACCTTGCTCTGTAGGTTCTAGTTCTGTGCTGCTGCTGCTGCCACAGTGCTGAGCAAAGGCTGGAAGAAGATGGTTTGAGCGTATACCAGCAGAAGCCCCAGATGACAGAGACAGAGCAAAAGGCTTCCAGATTGGCAAAATGGTTTTTAGGTGGGGAACATGTTTTCTCTGTTCTCACTTTGTATTACATCCCTGATGATGGGGATCGACTATTAAAACCATTGGGTTCACTGAGGATTTGTTCCATGTAGTGGAGGAAAGAGCAGATACATAAACACATGCGTGAGCTAACATGACCTTTGCACAAGTTAACCCATAGGATCTCTCCCTTTCTGAACTGGATTTAACGCACACAGTCCCCTTGTACAGTGGTTTGTGCACATGGGGAGAGGGCACGCACCCCTTTTTCCATTATCCAGAGCAAGTCCTTGCCTGAGTGTGGGAAGTCAGAAGGGCTAGGTAAGAATTCCCAATACTTGCCTTAAATGAATGACCACCATCCCCCCAAATGGCACTTCTTAATGAACCACCTGTTGTGTAGATCCACAGAAATAGGGTAAGTGTAACGGTGGCAGGGTGATAATCCTGGTGTGGTGCTGAGTACAGGTCAGTAGTGAGAGGGCAGGGAAGAGCTGCCCCTGCTTTCTGTGTCCTTACCATAACAGGATAGGATATTTTTTTTCATCACTACAGGAGCTTGGCACAGTGGATGGGGCCATACTATAGATTACTCTGCTTTTAATGGCAGGATGCCTCAGCCTCTATGGAATTAGGACACTGGGGAGCCAAAGCTGGCACTTTCTCTACCCAGGCCCAATAGCACCACGAAACCACGAGCTTTATTGGCAGGGGCAGGCGGAAGGAAGGGTGGGAATGGTTTAGGGCAGCAACTGCTTCAGGTAGCAGAGGAAGCCAGAGATGCTGGCATTCTTGGACAAGGGCGATGGGCGACCCTGCACACCTCACGGCTGCCTTCACTGTCAGGCAACTGCCTCCTTTCAGTGCTTCCAGTACGGCTCCCTGACTTCGTTCAACGAGGGTGGAGATGCCTGGCACTTGTAATCCTCCTAAGTCTTCCTACTGTCTCTTTTGCCTTTTTCTTAAAGAAAAAAGAAGGTAAGGCAGAATCGATGTCCTTACAGTTAAGAGCACCAGGCCACCTGCCTGGAGCATCTGTCTGTGGTACAAGAAACACCCCTAAAGCAAGGCTTTGTGTAGGAGTCCTGCTGCAGAACTCATGCCTTTTTTTTTTTAAGCCTCGAGTTTGAAAACTAGATCCAGTGTGATCTAGTGATTACAGTGTTGGACTGGGACTCAGGCGATCCGGGTCCTAGCCCCTATTCACCCATGAAGGGCACTGGGTGACCAGGCCAATCACTGCCTCTCATCTTAACCTACCTCACAGGATTGTTGTGAAGATAAGAAAGTGGGGGGAAACCTTGTAAGCCACCTTGGGTTTCTTACAAGAGGAAGAAAGGTGGGATATAAATGCAATGTAATAATAATAACTAGTGCCTAATTATTTAATTTCCCTCTCTATGACACTCTACCACCGATTAAACCTGGCCCCTTCAGAGGAGAGACAAAGCAAACCCTTGTAACTGGAGCCGTTCTTCTCCCTCCTTTCCGCTTCAAAAATCGGATTTTTTTTTTTTTTTGGCGCAGCCCCGCCCCGAGATTCGTCATGAGGGAAGGCGTAGCGTTTAGAAACTATGACCAATGAGAGCCATTACTTTAGCATATTAGCACTAAGGTGCGCAAACCTTATTTGAAATAGTAAATATATTAGTCCTACAAAAGATAGAGCTGCGAGAAGGGGGTTGTACACAGTAATTTGTATTGTATTACCAGCGGGGAGACAGAAGATGGGTTGCAATTTCGCTCGCCATCACCTAAACCGTATTCTGTTCCTCGTGGGCAAACGCCAAACGACATTGCTGTTTCAGTGATTTCAGCTCTTTTTGTATTTGTCTAGTAGGCTTTCTGCTTTAGTGGAAAGCCTTTCCAAACTTGGTTTAATGATAGATTAAGCTATATATCTGATGCATTTATTTAGTTTAGTTACATGTTCAAGGAAAGTACTGTGATGGCCAATTCTAGCTGTTCCAATATTTTCGAAAAAATTTGAACCGGTGTGCTTCGATTTTTATTTACACCAGTAGCTTAACTGCTACTATTGTAGCAGGCTTCGGCGAATGGGGCGGCATAGAAGCTTCCTAAATAAATCAATTGTACATTGCAATGGGGCCGCACAGACCATAATAGGACCCTGGCAGTCACTAGAGCGGAAGAAGTAGTGTATCACTTCTCGGTAAAAACGAGAATACAGTAACAAACGTAACATCAAAAAATGCCTCTGAATGATCTGGATTCATCATGTCTAGCGATGTATTTCCAACAGTGGCCGCCAGATAAAGGGTCCTCCGCATTGTTTCCCATTGACAACAATCAAGATCCTGATGTCGCTGCATCTGTAGGCTGCATTTAGTTCTCTCTGCCTAATCCACCTCCTTAGGAGCTTGGCTGACCGTTCTCTTACGAGCCCATGCCCGTCACAAGCAGCCCGTTGTCCTGCTCCCGAGCGTGTGTCACTCCCGCTCCTCTCCACCCGGATTGCAGCACGCAAGTGGGAAGGCGGGGATTGGGGAAGGTTCTTCGCCCGTGCGGAGGGTGGGGCGTTGTGTCTCTCGTCGGGAGCGCGAACGAGGAATAAGCCTCCCTCCTCCGTTTTGGGCTTGGGCCTTCCTTCTCCGAAAGCGCCGCGCCGGGCAGGCGTGGGAGTGCACAGGAGGCGCCGCCCGAGCACCGCGTCCGCCACCCGCTTCTCCCGAGCCGCATCGCCTGCCCGCTCCATCCGGCGACATGTCAAGTCTGCAGCGCCCGGTGCCCGCTTCAGCCCAGGCGCAGCCCGTCTCTCTGACTGTGGAGCAAGCTAAAGGTGAGTGGACACGCACGGGAAGCGACTCGGGATCGGACTTGCATGCCCGCCTGGTGGAATCCGTTTTCCTCGCAGCGACGGGGCACTGGAAGCAGAGCGGAGGCTGCCCCTTGCCTCCTCCTCGGAGCGGTGGAGCCCGGATTATATTCTGGGTGATCAATACTGAGTGTATTTCTAAGCACAGGTGCTGGGGTTTACTTCTGCACGGAAGCCACCTTTCCTGACCCGGAAGCTCTGCCCCGGAGTCGCCGCGATTGCTTAGGCGCAACGGCAGAAGCGCGAGTTGCGTCTGCTCGGAGGCGCGCCTTTGGAGCCGCGTCCGCTCCAGGGCTCAGCCGCGGTTTACGTCCGCGGTGGGCAGCGTGCCAAGGAGGGTCGCTCCAAAAAGCAGCTGCAACCGGCAAAGCCAAGCAGGCGCAAATACCGTGCAATGCTTTCCAAATCTTGTCGGGATGCTTTCTTCAGCGGAAATTATAAACGGGCTCCGAGCACTGCTCTCCTCCTAACGTCCGCTTACGGAGGGGATGTATCTCTCTCTGGCTTTTCCTTCCGGGAGGCCTTGCCTCTCAGAAGCCTCATTTCGGCGTGCTTTCTTGGGTCTGTCCCTTGTTTGGTGCTGCTCATCCCAGGCGGTTTGGGACCATGTTGCTACTAGCACTAGGAAGAGGGAAGAGAAGCATGTGGCAGGTGCCCGATTGTTCTGCTCACAATGTACCACCCCACTTTTTTTAGCACGTTCCCCAGAACAAGAGTGCACATCAGCTTTGCAGGCCTTTTAAAGATAAATTTGTAAGCAGCATTTCGTTTCTTAAAAAAAAAAAAATTAGGGAGTGAGGGTGACAGTGCAGCCCATTTCAGTCCACCCTATGGACCCATAGGGTGGGTCCACTCCATCCTATGGACCCATGCACAGTAAATGCAAATTGTGCCTGCTTGAGGGAGTATAACAGCCCTTTTGCTTTCTTTCTTAGTGGTCCTGGCTGAAGTGATCAAGGCTTTTGGTTCACCAGAAAATGCCCAGCGCATGGAAGAGGCAAGAGACAATGCCTGCAATGACATGGGCAAGATGCTCCAATTCTTGCTGCCTGTGGCTACTCAGATTCAGCAGGATGTGATCAAAGCCTATGGTTTCAGCAATGATGGGGAAGGTGGGTTCGGAGAACTTGATGATTTGGAAATGGAGGGGAAGGCATTCTAGTCCCTTGTGCCTGTAGGAGCATGCAACACACTTTGTGTCTGAGGCATCCATTGCTCAGGGTAGCCAAAGAACACTTCCCGGGAGATCATGTGGCCTGATAATTTAAAGGAAATCTAAAGGATGTCAGGGCCATGGAGAGATTGATCATCACAAGGTTCATTCTTTTTTTCTTTTCTAGGAGTCCTAAAGTTTGCCCGATTGATAAAATCTTATGAGTCCCAGGACCCTGAAATTGCAAGCATGTCTGGAAAGCTAAAATCCATATTCCTTCCTCCAATGACGCTGCCTCCACACGGGGTTGGAACCGGGGGTGTGGCAGCATCGTGATGCAGCAAAGGCTGCTAGCTTCACCTGGCTGGATCATGTCCCTGTCCTTGCAGCAGTATGGGCTACCGAACTGGGATACAGTGATTTCTTTCAACATCATGGGAATGCCTTTTGACTTCTTTTTTTTTAAAGGTTTTTATTAAGATTTTTAAACTAATACTAAAAACATCAGTCATCAAATACATCGAACATACTGGGTCAGCCCCCTACTACGTATCTTTTAACATTCTATAGTCATATTCAAATCCATTTATAACAACATAAAAACATCTTTAAGCCAAGTCCCGTTTTTCCAGCCAATTATAAAAAAAACCCAAATTTGATAGAAGTCAGTACCTTCTTTCTCCTTCAGTGATAAAGTCAAAATCATTTCGTCGAAGAATAATTCTTCATTTTTCCAGTATTGAACAAATAGACTCAGGTGTATGGCGCTTATTTTGTGCTTTGTGAGAATTCTTTTTGTGCTTGTGAATAAAAACTTCTTTGTAAATACCTCCTAGTGTATTTCTGACTCATCCTCTCACACTAGGTTTTCACAGGAAAGCATTCTGGGTGAATGTGAGAAAAAAGAGATCAGACACTGCCACACTCTACCTGGGCGTGTGTCAGCATGTGCACGCGCTCTCTCTCTCTCTCTCTCTCACACACACACACACCCACAGACATTCTCCAGGCTTCTGAGAGGATAGGATCATCAGTGCATTATGACCCAGATTTAATTACAGAGGTATCAATATTAGAATGCTTTCCAACAAAGAAAAGTATTGCCTTACAGTTTCCACCTTTGACTTTTCCACATTTCCAGATGTGTTCTGGAATTGAAATGAATTTAATTGGCATTGTTAGCACTTGATGCATACAAGATACTCCATGCTGTGACGCTGCAAAATATTTTTATATGGCACAAAGTTCAGTAAAGAACAAATTGGCACTTGGTGGCATAAGTATCGTCCCTAAGTCAATATATAGTAGAAACACTCGGGCTGTAATTACAGCTTTGTGCATCTGGATCTGCAATGTTTGCACATTCCCCCTAGTGAAACTGTCTCAGCTCAGTCAGACTGGATGGGGAGAGCAGCTTTCAAGTCCTGCCACAAATTCTTAGTTGGATTGAGGTGTGGGCTTTGACTAGACTATTCTAAGACATTCAGGTTTTTGTTTCAAAACCACTGTGGTGTCATTCAGCTGTGTGTTCAGGGTCATTGTCCTGCTGGAAGGCAAACTTCCACCACAGTTTCAACCTTGCAGGCTGAAACTGGTTTTTCCTAGAGTTACCTATAACCCCTACCAGTTTCCTAGGACATGCCAAGGAAAAGTTTTTGCACAACTTGAAGATACTTATTTAATTCACCTTAAGTGTCCTGTGTCTATCAAGTGCTAACAAATGCCAATTAAATGCATTTCAGTTCCAGGTTGTAACAACAAAATAGGGAAAAGTCTGGGCTGGGAGAGCAGGAGGGGGGCGTGGGAAGGATATTTCTGTAAGATGCTGTATCTGGGATTGGCTGCATTCATAGTCCAAAGCCTTGTTCAAGTGTTCACCTGACTGTGAGAGGGATGCAGTGTCTACTGGGGACCTGGTTGTGCTTACTGGCCCCACAGTTCCTCTGCCTTCTTTATTCCAGACTTTGCTATGTTTAACCAACAAGGTCTGAGAGACACTGTTGCTGGAATACAAGTAGAAGTCTGCAATATCCAAAACCCTGATAGGACAGGGTCTGGATTGAGTGGGACTGGATTGACATTCCTGGAAACACAGCGGGTGGGATGTGTACTCCCTTCCTTGTACATACTTAAAGCGCTCATATGCTCAGACAAATGCTGGAACAGAAGTAATTGTTAACTAATAGGAATTGTTAGTTCTGCCATGGTACCTACAAGGCCAAGTATCCGACTGAAGGGAGTGGGATCAAAAGATCTGTTGATCTCCCGAAAAACAAGTAATGGCAATATACCTTACAACCCGGAGCAAGCAAGGAGTGCTGGGCTGTGGGAAGCCCATTGCTCTTCTGCACACAAAAATCACCCTTGGTGAGAAGTGAATGGGCAGGGGGTGGAGGAGAGTTTTCACTGCAGTCAGAAAGGTGTATCCATGCTAGCAGAAAACATGTCATGAATATGAGTACAGGAAAAAGATGCTTGATACTGATTCTCCAAGTTATGGGGATATTAAAATTGTTCGCCCCTTTCCTGTGAATTAGCTGAAACTTCCATATCGCTAGAGACCAGTTTACTCAAAATGTGTGGTTATGGCACTCGGGGTATGGCATTCAACTTGTGATAGTGGCCGCTTCTGTGCAGAGCAGAGCAGAGCAGAGCAGAGCAGACACACATGAAAACAAACACTGGGTGTGGAACTTCCAGTAATGCCTTTCACTATCTACAAGGGCATATTTCCAGTAGCAGTCCCAAATATTTATGGAAGCTGTTTTACATATTTCTAGTCACTTCAGGTCAGGTATTTTCAAGATTACAAATGAATCAGCACAGAAGAATGATAATTAACAAGAACAATGTATTTCCTTTTGATGAGCATTTCTTTAAAAATGGTGACTTAGAATATGTCTTTAAAACAAAACTCTATAGCTCTTTTAGATAGCAGATCTTAGGAGTAACTTAATATAAGAAGGGACAGGAGGACAAGGAATCTTAAATTCATGAGTCACTACTACAATCAGTACTGATTGGTGTTATACGATCATATTACCAAGCTTTTTTTTTTTTTTTTTTTTTTTGGAGAAAGCACCTGAGTTACTGAGTAACTCAAAAACAGCTCTCTTCACCCTTTCAGCTCCTGCCACAAGTGCCTGCTATCTGGGGAACAGAAGCCTGCATGTGGGAGAAATCGCTACAGCCAATAAATTTGTGCTGAATGCATAGCAGGATATTGGTAAATGCTTCTCCAAAAGGCAAAACAAAATAAAACCAAAAGCACCTTTTTCTTAATGCTGTTAGGAAGAATGGTTAGAGTCTGTGACTTCCATGCGCGTAGGGGTGTGTGTGTGTGTAAACTAAGTCCGAAGGAACATGCTTTGGAAAGTTTTCCATTTGCAGTTCAGCACATCCTGGTCACAATTTGTATAGAGAAAACGGTGAGTGAAAAAAATATAATTGACTCATGCACGAAACAGAAACAGGGCTCCTTCCTTTCGTTTGAGGCGATCCTCCGGTGGCATGTGCATCGTCTCCTTTCTAGAGAGAAGATTTAACAACAAAAGAAAGTCCTCTTGAATTAGAGGCTATGAGTGAGTTTGAATATGAAATGATTTACAGTTTAAAAAAAAAAAGCGGTGGCTGTCTGGACCGACGAGGCGGTGAAGCTGGAACTGAAATGCACTGAATCGTGTTCGGAAGGATGTGGCACGGCTAGGCTGGAGATGAGGGCAGCGGCGACGGGGGTCCGGGGGCCGAGACAAGCGGCGCCGGGCTGGGGCCCCGAGATCGGGGCGGGCCGGGGCGCTGCTTTGCCCCCTGCGTGCGGCAGCTGCGGAGCCACCTCAGGAGGGCCCCCGGCCGGCGCTGACGGTGCGCGGGGCGGGGAGAGCGCGATCCCTCCCCTGGTTACCTGCTGCTCCCCAGGTTGCGCCTCTCCCCTCCCAGCACCTTCCTGTGTGTTGATTAACTACAGCGCAGGGGGACATTCGCTAGAGCACAGGAGGGAGCCTTGAGCACGGGGACCAGCCTTCTGAACGGGGTGGTTTCTACTGCTTCCACCGCATCTATGCCTTTAAGGAAGGGGCTGCTGTCCTGAGCAGGTAAACTTGACTTCCGAGCCTTTTCTGTCTGGATTTCATGAGGTGCCCAGAGAAAAGTTTTCTTGCTCTGGGCCGCCTGCTGGGGTCCCAAACCCAGAACTGGAGCAAAAATGAAGAGCACATGTAGCTATTTCTCAGGCAGATGTTGACTTTTTAGTACTTACGCATCTGGTGGCAGTGCGTTGTTGTGCACTGTCACTTGGAAAGCTCTTTTAAGGCGGCGATAATGGGCCCGCTTTCCTGAGAGTAAGCCCCACTGACTGCAACAGAACTTACTTCTGAGTAGGCAAGTTTAGGACTGCACTGTCAACATGCCCAGAGAGGTCACAGCCGATTTTTATGGTGGTCGGCTGTGAGTAGCTACTTAAATGGTCATAAAATAAAGTGATAAAATAAAGAACAGTTTTGGGTGATCTGGAATGTGACAATAACAAGCGAATTATTCGATTTACTGGACCTCTGGGGGAAGGAAGTGAACCATGCCCTTAATTTCTAGCAGTTTGGGGAAACCTATTAAAATGTAACTGAATTTAAGGAAAATATTCACACTCACACAACATTATCATCAACCCAGTAACGTAGCAAAATTGAAAGAGGATTTTTACTGTAAGACCATTTAATCCCATCAATGTTCTTACTTATTTAAAATGTGTATACCCCATCCTCCCATTGGTAGCTCAAGCAGGCAAACAATAAAAATAACAAAATACATTGAATGTAAGAATAGCTGTTTTGTGTATATATGGAAAATATTAAAATGAATGGTACTTTGCCTATTCCTGGCATCCTTTGATCCTTCTCTGAGCTCAGTGGATATTGTCTGTATTGTTTCTGGTCTTGTTTTGTTTTTTTCCAGAAGGGACTGTAGAGTGCAGCACCTTGCCTTCTCCGGCTTTCTTAGTGGGGACCCCACACTGGGGTCCTGATGCCATCCTGCAGGTACGTCTCACCCCACAGTGGTTCCTATCTTTTGCCTAGGAGAGTTGGGGAACTTCACTGGAAAGTGTGTGTGTGCATGTGAGGAGAACAGACTGTAAGGAAAGTAAACCCAGAAGGTTTGCCATCCAAATGGACTTGAGGTTTGCTAAAACTGGTTTCGGGGATATTCAGGAGCCCGCTCACTTTGGCAGAATGCAAAGGCAATATCCCGCCCGATCAGTCACATGGCCTCCAAATGTTACGTCAGTCATGATGTCTTTCTGGGGATGTTTCTTGCTTTCCTGTTTTTGCTTCAGGGTTGTTTCATACTTAAACAATGACAAAACAAGTAATGCTGTCATTTTGCTGGTCTTCTGAAGCTGCAGTGCTTGGTTCGAATAGCTTCTTTGCTTTCATTGAAACCTGCTGTAATTGCCCTTCATAGCTCACTCTAGGTTGACGAGGCGCCGTGCACCTGAGGTCTGGTGGCTGATGCTTAATTTTAGAATTTGACAGTCCCATCCCCAAAGCCTCAGTGGCTGTTGCCTGTCCTGTTGAGGGTCAGGGAAAGCTGCTTCTTCCCAGCCCCAGAGTCTTTGCAATTTCATTCTTGTAAACTGTTCAGACAGCCAATTTTGGCTATGGAGGGCAATAGATAAAAGCTTGTATAAATTAATTAATTCTGCTTGAAATGTTCTGGCATCTGTTTGTCATGGCAGAATAATTCTTGTCAACACAGATGCCCATTTTACCCTTGTCTCCTCTTCCTGCCTATCTCTGTAGAGTGGAAAGCACAGCTAGAGGCTCAGGCAAGGGCTAAGTCTTAGTCAGGGGTGGGTGGCGCATGGGCTGCGCATTTCCAGGGCCATCGCTGCGCACCCTCCTGCCAAAATCACGCTGCTGAACCCACCTCTCTCAGAGGAAGCGGCTGTATCACCTGTCCCCATCAATTTTGTAGTGTCAGCAGCACAATCGTGGCAATTTTTCAGGAAAACGTGATGTGCAGGGAGCCCGTGCCTTGTTTGCCAGTAGAACTGTATTGCCAAAAGCCTCCAGAATGTGCAGTTCTGCTTGGAAATAGGGCACATGCTCTCTGCTCAGCTTGTTTCTCTGTGAAATCATTGCACTTTTAGCTGCTAGTGCAGGGAACTGAGTAACCACAGCGGTGCGACATGGACCCCAGTTGGTTTTGCTGGGCAGCGTAGCTCCTCCAGCCCCTGGAAATTGCTCGCTCCTGTCTGAGTGGTAGGAGCAATGACAAGGACTTTAAAACCAATATTTGAATGGGCCCTAAATGTTCCTTTTATAACATCAATAACAAAAGCTACTGAGTAGCAGTTGAGGTCTAGCCGCCTGTGCGGTAGAACATCATCTTTGCTTGCAGAAGGTGCTTGTTTCTTCCCCTAGCATTTCCAGGTAAAAGGATGTCAGGTAGAAAGGCAGGAAAAGAGCCCACGGTGCATTGCTGCTGGAGTAGACATTACTGAGCTACTTCATGTACCAGACAAGTTCATACGCTTTCATTCTTCACTGTTCTTGATTTTCTTCTTTCTTGAGGCAAAAGGTTAACCTTTAGCTGTGGGAAAACAAATGCAACAGGCAGGGAAAGCACTAAATGCACATCCTTCCATGCTCTGCCTCCTTTCTTCTTTCAGACAAGCTGGCCCCTTTCAACACCACTCCACAAAGAAGAAATGTTTGTTGGGATTTTAATCTACGCTATGGCTTACACAAGCCATCCTAAGTTAAGGTGCAGTGTATGATTTTAATAATTGCTGCCTGGGTGCAGCTTGTCATGCAATTTGAGAGTTCAACTGGAGGGTTGTTTAGTCCTCCAGCAAGCCATGCCACCCAAATTTGGACAACATGGCAAGTCACACCCAGGAAGTGAGAAACTGAACTGTGTCCAATGTGTGCCTGGAATGCACTGTGGCTTAAATAAGCCACAGTGGTGGCTTGCCTCAGCTGTGGAAATCATGCAAACCAGCCTGCAAAGCAGAGGTAGATGATATGTAATTCGTTCTTCGTAAATGTTTCTTCTAGGCCAATCCAAAATATTTTACAGTTGCAAGGAGCTATCTTAGCACCTGTTGCAATGCTGCAGAAGTGTATACGATTTGAGAACGGCACTCCCAGACTTCTTTGCAAAATTTCAGCTGATCATTAAAAATATGTAAACAAGCTTAATGAGGGGATTTTTTGAACTAGCCATACTTAGTTTCCTTTACTATTTTTTTAAAATTGCAAACCAGCCTGAAATCGTAAGCTGAAATCATCCATCCACTGAATTTAATTGGTGACCCAGTGTAGTGTTGTTAGAACACGGGACCGAGGACCTGGGCGACCCAGGTTCTATGTTCCCACTTAGCCCTGTAGCTCATAGGATGTCTTTGGTCTAGTCACTTGCTCTCAGCCTAACTTATCTCACAGGGTTCTTATGCTAAGGATAAAATGGAGCTCAGTAAGCCAACTTGGTTGGCAGAATATAAATGTAATGTGATGATAAAGGTGTTTTGAGGGCAATGTAGGAAACATCCCCCCTTTTTCCTTTTAAATTATGGTACAACCAGAACTACAGTTCTGTGCAACTTGAAAAAATTCAGACTATATTGTGAACCTGGCTGGGCAGTTCCCTCACTGGGCAACTGGCAGGCTACTGCTTAGTATTAATTTTGCATCTGAAGTACCTGAGGTTGATTCCTTGCCCCATGGCAACCCTGGCAACAATCCCATTCCTTTCTGCACCATTCTTTCACCCAGCATGTTGCATTTGTCCCATATCCCAAACCTTTGGGATGCCACTGCCTTGACTCATGTGCTGCTGGTGTTGGTTCTCCACAGGCGGCAATCAAAGGAGCTGCACTGCACTTGCTGCCTGCGTTATAGATGTACGACGAACTCCAGCAAACAAAGTCAGAAACACTGGTGCATGGGAGGAGGGGCCAGGAGAGAGAGAGAGCCAAAAGGAGAAGCAGAAGTGCATGCAGAGCAGCTTGCAGTGGAGAGCAGCGATGTTAGATATGCTTCCTGTTCCTGTAACAGCAAACATCAGCTCTGAATTCACTATTTGCCTCAGTTCGTTCTGTCTGCTCATACCTACTGGCGCAGGCAGGGTGGGGATGCGCCGTGGAAACCTGGAGGGCAGAGGAGATGCATGAGGTAGATGGTCGGAGGCAAGGAAGCAGCATTTGACGCTGGGAAGCCTCTCCACATTGGACCCCCACTTCTCTTTTACTGGCATCTTAAAAGGAGCTTCTCCATTTAATTTTTCTTCTTCTACTTCTTCTTTTTACCATACTTTTGATTCTACTTGCTGTCTTACAACAATAATGAGGTAAGAAAAGTGCTGGGAATGAAAGTGGAGGCTTAATCCCATCTTTCCAAGGCTTTGAAAGGACTGGGACTCGAACTGGGTCTGGGACTATGCGCTCTGTGTATATGTGTGTGTGTGTGTGTACAAGAGAGTGGTGGTGGGTGGAAACTATTCCGTTAACTGCACCTGGCCTTATGGGCTTGAGTATTTATTTAGCTATTGCATTTATATGGTGGCCCATAGCCCAAAGGGCTCTCTGGGGGCCTTACAATAAAACAAGCAATAAGAACAAGAATTAAAAGAATAAAATCCATCAAAACAGTAAAAGACCTGGCACTCTGGCACTCACAACACTCAGTATTGGAACTAAGAGAGAATTAAGAGCTCTAAATCTCCATGCTTCCTATTTTTCTTTGGTTAAGAAAGTTGCATAAAGGCCAGTAACTATATGAATAATGTAAAAAAATTAATAATTTAAAAAATCTTGAATCTGCTACTATGTCTTTAGCATTTGACAGAAATGTAGTCATTTTCCCCTTGAGATTCACCAGCTATCTTTGTATCTTCCAGGCTGTTGTTAATTGTGTAGAACATATAAAAAGAAGTGGGGGAGGGCTCTCAGTCATACATATATTTGCATCGTCACTTGATTATTAAGCGTTTAATGATGACAGTCGATTGTGTAGACTGATCCTATTTAGAAGCATCATGTTCAGATGAGGTGAAATTGTGTTCGGTAGCATTAACCTGAGCATGTCATTCATGCTAATTGCTTAATGACAGGCCATGTCTTATGTAAAGCAGTGCTTGGCTGGAACTTAGGAAGGTAGAGTGTGGGGTGCAAAGGCAATCCTGTTTATTTCTGGCTCTTTGATGGGGTCTTGAGGCATCTTCCTCAAAAGAACTAGACTTTGACCGGTTTATGATGTTCCTTTTCCCCTATTCCCTGTCCTCACCAGGTGGTTCCACCGTGATCTCAGCGGCATAGATGCAGAAGCCTTACTCAAAGCACGAGGAGTTCATGGCAGCTTCTTGGCTCGCCCCAGCCGGAAGAACAAAGGGGACTTTTCTCTTTCTGTCAGGTAATTGGCCAGCCACAAGTCTCCGACCCTTGGGTGGTCTCCCATACTTATCCTCGAGACAAGACAGACCCAGACCGGAATAGGGGCCCTAAGGGCCTGGCTGGAAGGGAGGAGGAGAATGGCAAGCGGACAGAGTGAAAGCAAGGATAAAGTTGCCAGTGGGTTTTTAGGCGCCTGCCGCCTTCTCCATAAGAACATAAGCGGAACGATGCTTCACCAGAGCAAAGACCTCGCTAGCTAAGCATTGTCTGCATCATGCCCAGCCAGATGCCCATGGGAAGCCCACACGGAGACACCAGCACCACGCTACTCACCTTCCCGAGTAAATGATAAACAGAAGCTGGTGTCTTTGCTACTGGAGGGAATGCAGCCATCATGGCTGGCAGGTGCTGATGGGTTTGCCCACTCTTGAAACTTATTCTGGTCCTTGAATACGGCCTGTCAGTGCGTCATTTGTCCTGCCTCATTTTTAGATTTTCATCTGGATTCTAGATGTGATCTTCCTCTTGTGATTTCTCTTGTTGTTCCACCATTTCTTTTATCTTTCTTACTATGGCAGATCCTTTTTAAAAAGGTGGAATTGCCACACGATACCTTCCATGTGTTATTCATAAGACCACTTTGTCTCCAGGTGCAATCCTGGCAGCGAAGCCTAACCTTTTTCTTCTTTGTGAGTCAGGGAGTAAGTTAATATTTGGCAACTTCTGTTCAGGAGGGGAATCCAGAGAAAAACACTACCAAAAATAAAGGGTTGAGGAAAGAAAATAGTTATCTAATAATGTTCTGACAATTAACTCCAAAACAAACCAACAAACTACACCATGGACATGCCAGATTGGTAGCAGCCGTATTTCTGCCCCGCGTTTCCTAACACTTCTGCTGGTTGACAGTTTCTGGGAAGTCCTCAGAAGTTGGAGCAAGAAGACCTGTTCCAGGCATTTGGTTGTTGCGCCAGGCCTTCCTTCGGAGACCTCCTTGAGGAGTTTCCTGATTCCCTGTGTCTTCTAGGACCAGCTCTCCTAAACCTCGTTCTCCTCCCTCTCTCCACTTCCCTCAGCTTAGCTAGCTAGATATAAAAACTCCATGGGAATCTTATAACATTCCTCTGACATACACAATTCTTCAGAAGCTTCATCTGAAGAAGAACCTGAAAGGGGATTGGGATTTTACAGAATTAAAGTGACAGTGGCAGTTCTAATGCCATGACTCTCGTCCACCTTAGCAACTTAGGTGAGAAATGAAAAGTGTAGAAAGAAACGATAAGGGCATCCATTTATAATTTCTTATGCACTCACTCATCTTTGCCACGAATTTTCAACTGGAGCTCTAGTCTGGAGGAACAGTTCGGATTCTATTACTTAATATTTTCTGGGGTTGAGCCCTGATACTTAATGGGAGCCTAAGCGCTGGTGAGCAAAGCTCTGCTTAACCCTTCCCTAGTCCCTTGGCTGCCATTTTTTGAGTTCAGGGAAAGAGGAGTAGAGGTAGCTTTGTCCCATCTTGCCTTGCTCCCCACACCCCTTTTCCCTGGGCCACCAGCCTTCTTTGACTAGATCTGCTTCTCCCTACAGGGTTGGTGACCAGGTAACCCACATCCGTATCCAGAATACAGGGGATTTTTATGATCTTTATGGAGGAGAAAAGTTTGCCACTTTGTCAGAATTAGTGGAATATTACACACAGCAGCAAGGATCCCTGCAAGATAAAGATGGAACCATCATAGACTTGAGGTATCCACTGAACTGCTCCGATCCGACAACAGAGAGGTATGCAGAAAACAGGCCTGCTTATGCCTGTACATGAACACTATTTGCTCCTCTGCTTTCTCTGTCCAGCCTCTCCCTGTGGGTGTTCACACATTACAGTTAACACATGGGCAGGACTGATTGGTCTGCATAGATGTATAGTTATGTGCATGTACCATTCAATCTGTATATAGAACATATGAACAGTGCCAATTGCTGATCTCTACACATGCAGAGATATTCACATGTAATTCAGGGTACATGTTTTCATACAGTGATTTCCAGATGACAGGCCAGTATCCTTTTACTCATCAAAGGGTACTCCTTCAACTGAACGGCATGTAACAGAATATCCAAACCCTTACATTGATGCTGCATATTAAGGTTTCTTGATTAACAAACAGCAGAAATAAGATCAGGGAGGGGGGATCTTAAGTAAATGGTCTACTTTAAACATCTATTTTAAGCAATACAGTACTGCTACTACTACACATGGGGAAAAGTTATAGTGTGTTCAGTCACCTTTTACTCTCTGCAAAAGTTAGTACTTCTACCTAAGCTATTATATCTGAAGTATTCTAGTTTTATATAATTTTAAAAGAAATTATCTACCCACCCTAAAGCACAACCATGAAACTTAGAAATAAACTGCTAATGGAAGTCCAAAATATTTGCTAACAAGAAGTAGTTTAATAAAGTGGGTTAAAATGGAAGGAAGCAATAGAGGAAAAAAATCAGATTGCCATACAATTTAAGCTATGTATCTAAACTAATCTAAACAATTGGCGATGCAGACCAATACATTAGTTATTCACTGGTGAGTGCCTTCTCTGACCTGGTTCACCTCACAGAAGCCTCAGCTGAGACACCCAATAGCGAGGAACCCTGTGATTTGTAGACTGCAGCATCCGGGGGGCTCCAGGATGGGCCAGGCTGGCCTAGGGTCCCTCATCTCTGCTGCCCTGGACTAGAAGGCAACTGCAGGCCTCAGCCTCTGTCTCCCTGGCTTCAGAGCTGCTCCTGCGTGGATGCTGTGCAGCGGCTGCTTCTTGTTCACTCTCCGTCTGGTGTCCCCAGTCTCTTAAATCTATCCCTCCTCCTCCAAAGTGTCCCACAAAAGAATCATTCCCAGCGTCAAAAATCCTCAAAACCAAAAATACACACTATACGGCTGCCTAAAATTTAACCCACAAGGCACAGGATGTGCAGGTACCAGGCTACATGTGTCCCTCCTGTTGTCTGGTTGTACGAGTCCAGAAAGTTCTGGTACCTGTGGAGATCCACATAGGCAGTTTCTCATTTAGCATGAGCACGAATTCTGTGTAATGTGTGAACACCCCTTCTCTGTTCCCTCAGCCCAGGTTCTGCTGAGCTATTTGTTTGCCCAGCCCCATTATTCCCCTTTTACTTTTCAACGTTTCTTCCCTTGAGAAACCCACAGGGCAGGGGACTTGTTCGGCTCACAATCTGCCTATCTGCCTATCGCAATGTGATGAACTTTCAGTATTGGTCTGACTTATATTTGGAAAGTGGATTTCCTCTGTCTCACTGATTTGCTATTTTTGGCATGTTGTTAAATATGTAAGACACTGAGACCTTGCCTGAAATGTGCAGCGAGGTGCAATTAATCTTTAACAAGTATAAACTTTACTCTTTCTCCAGGCAGCTTTATCCGACATCCCTTTCCGCTTCTGTCACACATTTATCAAATTCGCAGCACAGAAAGTTATATGCCGGGTTCACTGTCCTTGGGAATCCGGGGTAGGAGAGGAGGCAGAAAGAGTAGTTGAGAGCCGACATGGCAGAGCCAGGCCTGTCCTCCCGCCTGGTGTGTCTAGGCAGGACATTGTGCGGTTTATCCCTGTGAGCTTGGGTGTGTGTGTGAGTGTGTGTGTGTGTGTGCATCCAAAATGCAGCAGTTGGTCAGGGAACCTGCTGCTTCCTCCCTTGCGGTTGGAAAGTTCTGTCCTCCAGGCACTTACGAAAGCTCTTCAGCGCTGCCTCCTTCCCCCCCACCCGAGATTTTCCATCACGTGGCTTCCTCTCGTCGAGGTCCCCGGGGCTTAACTGTTTCCTCCCTGCAGACAAGCCGGGCCCGCCTAGCCACCACCTGACCCGGACTTTGGTAGCGTTTACAGGAGCGAGAACAGCAGCTCTGTGATTCTGGGCATCTTGCTTTTTCCAAGGAAAGGTTCTGCAAGGAAGGTAGTAGGAGCCTTTGGGGTTTCTAAGCAGTCGTTTAAGCAGGCACATCATTTGTTTCATTAGTAGAGGGATGCCTTCCCATTTGATCGTAGGCCTAACCAGGCCTGCACGCACGGCTTGTGACCCAGTGAGCTGTGGGCAACCTACCGGTGCCTGGCAACGACCCAGTTTTTGCAGCCCTAGTTATGCAGAAAAGACAAATACTGTAAAGGCCCTGGTAGGCAGCAACACATGGGGCTGCCCTGATTTCCTTGCTGCACAGGCCTGATCGAATTTGACTTTTCAACCGTTTGATAGCTCCTGTAAAGAGAGAAAGCCTGAAATACTGAAACGCCTCAACTTTGGGCCCAGATGAGATAACCACTTTTAGTCCTGGCCCATATTATTTGCCTTTGTTTATTTTCTGGACCTGGTTCAGATGGGCTAGTTCTGATCGGCGGAAGTGAAAACAGTGGTCTTTGTCATGGCCTCTTCCTCATTACAGTCTGCTGTATACTAATGATTTGTTTCCTTTCCTAAAGATGAAAATAATGCTGAATTAGACTGTGCAGAACTTGTTTTGCATTAGACACACAATCATGCACAAACCCCTGAATCTCGTATTCATCTTTGCAGAGAACTGGAAGATATCCTGTAAGAAACGCTGCCACTGATGTTACTAACTGGCTAGTATTTAAGTGGTGCAGCCAATTAAACTGTGTGGTGACAAGTAATGGGAATTGGAGTCTGAAAAGCCAATAAACCCCAGATGTTGCCCCCAAAGTTGCAACTTCTGAAACCCTTCACACTGTACCTATGACATAACAGGTTATGTCATGGCACTGACAGGTATAGCTGTACCCTGGGGTACAGTATGCTAGGACCAGTATTTTGGAGCTCCTAATTATCATCAATAGTCCACATTTATTGGTGTCAACTTATGGCTGAAAAATATAGTCGCTATTACGAAACTCAAACTGTAAGTGAAGTACAGAAAAGGATAGAATTAAGTCAGGGGATTATTTATTTATTTATTTATTTTTCAGAACACCATTGCAACAAGGTGTTTCTCTAGTCCTACACACTTGCCTGAGAGTAAATCTCACTGAATTGAATGGAACGCCCTTCTGAGATGTTTCATGAAGGATTATCTATACAGCTTCAATTTCTTAAAGAACATTGGGCTGATTTTTCTTTTTACTAATTAATACATTAATTTATTAATGATATTAATATTTGCAAATTACTAGACTCTTAGTTTTCAAAAGACTTCTATTATTTTATTTCATTTCTAAACTATCCAATATCCAGTTTTGGGGGGCACTGTACACATTAAAAACATAAAAAACTAAGTAATGATAAAACAATTGCATTAAAACAAATCATATCAAAGCAGGATAAAAAGAGCAGAACATGGTCACAACAAAAGTAAAACCAGAAACTAGGCAAAACTACCATTTTACTGAAGGAATAAATATTGGGTATTTCCAGATGAAGTGCTCCTAGTGCGTTCAGTTTGAAGGCATCATGCAGCTACTCAGTCTTTCTCTCCTTGATGAATTTTCTGCAGTAAAAAAATAAATAAATGAGGGGTGGATGGGAAAATAAAGGAGGGTACAAGAAACACTGTGTCATCTGGACAACACCATAATTCAGTAAATGAAAGCCTTGCCTAGAAACATCCACTGAAGGGAGGGTTAGATAAACTGCAATGTGGGTAGTGGGTGGGGGGAACTGTCACTCATACTTAGAGAGGAAGGCCATCTTTAAATATGTTCTTTTTCATTTCCTTTTACAACAACATACCAAAACTAAAATAGCCTTTAAATGCAAGTGTGCTTTATTAACTCCCAGGCCCACTAAAATAAGCCTTAGTAGTTATTCTGTAAAAAGATTCAGAAAAAGAGAATGTTTCAGCTTTGGGGGCAATCCAAATGAGAGGGGGAAAAAGTGAAACAAGCTAGAATGAATAGTTGGCAAAGTAGTAGTAAAATATCATGAAGGTTCCACAGAAGTCACAAAACAAAAATATTTAATAAATAAATAAACAAACCTTCAGGCAAATGTATTTATTCAAAGAAAAAGTTGTTGAACTTCAAAACGTTAGACTCTAAATTGACCTCAACCAAACAATGTCGTTCAGATGCCTCTAATTCCAGTATTAACAAGCAGTAACAACAGTCAGTAAAGTCCGGCCCCTCCTTTAGTCCATTCCAGTCCATGAGGCTGACAGGATCACTGGAATGATCCCAGCATGACTTGAACACACCAGAAGGGCTTTGCCTGTGTTATTTTTCTGGGTTTCTTCCTTGCAGTTCTTACTATATTGGCTTTGTTTACTTTTTTAAGAAAAACAAATATTGGGATATATTGGGATAGGCAACTTACGGCCTTCTAGATGTTTTGACCAGCAACTCCCAGTTGCCCTAGCTAGTGCAACCGATGATAATGGATGATGGAATTTGTAGGCCAATTTAAAAAAGAAAAGAAAATGTGTACTGTGCTATTTCCTTAAAAAAATCCCTGCAATTAGAATTTAATTTCTGCTGTGTATATGGAATGATAGGGAGCTGCCATCAAGGGAAAACAAACAGGCTGAAATGTTTGGCCCATCCCCTTGAGAAATATTACATATTGTTTCAAAATGTCCGTTTTGGAAATGGGCATATCTAATAACAGACAGATGCAGAATAGAGCCCTGGGAATTCTCTGGTTCAAATCTCCCCTTAGCCGTGAATTCTCTGTTGGGAGCTTTCTACTTTTTGCAGATAACAAGCACAGAAGGGGAGGATCCGTTTGGCACCGCGGCAGGATTAAAGACTTGAAGACTCTTTTCC